CAACCCATGGATCAAGGAGTAAGTTTTACTTCCAAGTCTTATATTTTAAGAAATACATTTTATAAAGTTATAGCTGCCATAGATAATGGTTCCTCTGGGAGATCTGGGAAAAATAAATTGAAAACCTTCTGGAAAGGATTCAACCTTCTAGATGGCATTAAGCACATTTATGATTCATGGAAGGAGATCAAAATATCAACATTCACAGGAGTTTGGAACAAGTTGATTCTAGCCTTCATGACTGACTTTGAGGGGTTCAAGACTTCAGTAGAGGAAGTAACTACTGATGTGGTGGAAATAACAAGAGATCTAGAGTTAGAAATGGAGCCTGAGATGTGATGGAATTGTTGCAATCTCATGATAAAACTTAAATGGATAAGGAGTTGCTTCTTATAAATGACCAAAGGATGTGGTTTCTTGAGATGGACTCCACTCCTGGGAAAGATGCTGTGAGCACTGTTGAAATGGCAACAAAGGGTTTAAAATATTACATAAACTTAATTGATAAAGCAGTTGCACAGTTTAAGAGGATTGACTCCAATTTTGAAAGAAGTTCTACTGAGGATAAACTGCTATCGAACAGCCTTGCATACTACCGAAAAATCCTTCCTGAAGGGAGTAATACATTCATGCAGCAAACTTCATTGCTGTCTTATTTTAAGAAATTGCCACAACTACCCCAACCTTCAGCCACCACCACACTGATCAGTCAGCAGCCATTAACATCAAGGCAAGACCCTCCTCCAGGAAAAAAATTATGACTCGCTGAAAGCTCAGATGATTGTTACAATTTTTAGCAATAATGTATTGTTTAATTAAGATATATACATTGTTTTTTATATTAATACATATGCTATTATAGACTTAATAGACTACAGTATAGTATAAACATAACTTTTGTATGCACTGTGAAACAACAAAAAAATTATGTGACTCACTTTATTGAGATATTCACTTTAGCATTGGTCTTGAACCGGACCTGCCATATCTCCAAGGTATACCTATGCCACGCACATAGTTCTACAGAAAACTCAAAGTTGGAAAAGAGATTATTTCATGTCCAACAAGGTATATACATTAATGTAATAAAAACCAATCACGTTTAGCATTTATTAATGAAGAATGTTTTAAAGAGTTTCTATACATGCTTCTAAACAATGTTGGAAGTCCGAGGCTTCACCTAGTGAATAGCTTGGATGGTGTGTTCTGAAAGAAATATGAAACACAGAAAGAGAAATTAAGAGAAACTCTGATGTGGTCAGAGAATCATTTCAGTTTGAGTGAATAAGAGAGAAAGCTGAAAGAATAACTGGTTGTGGTCAGACAGAAGGAAGTTTGAATTTAAGAATTCAGGAATGTTACAGCCTTAATTAATTTCTCTTGTCTCTCTGAAACCTTTATATTTGATACAAAGCTGAAGTCCTATATTCTGTTTTATTCTGCAATTGTTTTTGATTTGTATTTTATTGTTGTACACAAGGAAAGACATAGGTGAGAGTACAGGATCTGGTTCAAACAGGCTTATGTTCAATTCCTAGCCCTACCACTATCTAACTCTGTAATACTTTAAAGCATTTTAGAAAAACTTCTGTTTTCTTTAGCTTTCTAATTTAATTGTCATAAGACTGTAGATCAAAAATGTTTAAGAAATATTTGATCTCCAAATTCAATTATAAAACCAGGAAATCTTTTATTTTTTATCATTAACTTTGGTTTTGAAAAAGTTGAACATATGATTATAGAAAGAGTTTATTTTTAGGCTATATTAGATCTAATCTGTCGCTGAGGCCACCTAATGTACATGCAGCTTTAAATAAATATTACAATAAAATCTGAGCACAACACAAGTACCTAAAGACAACTATTTAAACATGTGTATAACAGTGGCAAATCTTGGTATATCAGAACTCTTTGCATGATTAATTAACAGTAAGGTAAAACATAAGTAATTTAAAAATATCCCTTGTCTTATATTAAATGAGAGCTGTCTTTTAGTGATGCAATGGCAACAGCATTCTGCATATCCAATCCTGGCTCAGTTCCTTATTGGGAGTATGATCTAATTCCTTTTACTTTACCTTGCTGAACCTCAATTTTCTTATCTGAATTGGGATTTATGGAATTTCCCCCACATCCTTTGTCTAATGTTGAGATTGAATAAAGCAATTAACATGAAGGAATATTATAAAAATTAAACTGCTATTCATATGGATTTTTTTAAACTGTATATAGATTTCTGATTTAGGCATAGGCTAAAGTGGTACAGAGTAGATGAAAACAGGTGGACAAACGGCATGCTCAGTGGAGAGCATCAACATGAAGAATTACTATTTTTGTATCTTTTTGTAGAAAATTATCTTTTCGAGTACAATCTTAAGTAAAGGGAGTTTCTAAATGTGCCCAATACAAATGCTGTATAATTGTACTCAGAGTAGGATAGGTTGTGGGTTTCTAATTTTCTTCTTAAGTACTACTACTCACAGATATTGAGATAATTATTAGTGATAGATTATTCTTAAGTATATATTTTCTATATCTAGAAATAACACATGAACAAAGAGAGAGATATCATACTCTTGAGTGGATTGCATAGATATCTGACTTCCAATAAGGTAATATTTCAATGTTATTCCACTAAAAATATCCATGTGATTCCTCAAGCAAGGTAGAGAGTTAATATTTAGGAAAAACATACACATCTATGAAAATGTTAAAGTGAATTGTGAGACGGATTTGCTCTACTGAATAGTAAAATGTTTTAGAGCTATAGCATGTGTTAGTATATATGTATATAAATCTACATTGCTGATACAAGAAAAAAACAAAATGACTAAATACAAGACAAGTAGTTAATTGTTTAGATTATATAAAAACTTAAATTTTTATATCAGAGCATAAATCAACATACATTCCAGATAAAGTAAGGAGTTAAAAAAAATCAAGGTAAAATATGAGAAGCAAATATAAGATAAAACTACTGTAAATTAATAAGAAAACAGCAAACAAAAGAAAGGTAGGATTAGAAGAATTCAAAAATATAAACATCATACATCAGAATAATAATTAAAAAACAAATGATACATTAAAAACATGTTTGTCACACGTTTGAAAATCATCTTTTATAGTAAAAGAGATTTTATTTTACCATATTTTTATGGTAAACTTTTAAAAAATTTAACTATTTTTTATTGCGATAAGAACAGTTAACAGAAGACCTAACCTTTTAAATGTTTCAGTGCTCAATACTATATTGTTAATTCTAGGCACAATGCTGTACATCAGTTGTTTAAAACTTATTCATCTTGCATAACTGAGACTTTACACCAGTTCTCATTTTTCTGTCCCCAACCCACGGCAAACAACATTCTATTCTCTGTTTTTTGAGTCTGAGTCTTTTATATATCTAGATGCAATATGGGTCCTTGTGTGACTGACTTATTTCACTTGGCTTAAGGTCTTCCAGATTCATCTATCTTATCACATATGGCAGGATTGTCTTCTTTTTCAAGGCTAAATAATATTTCATTGCATATAAATACCATTTTTTTAAAATCCATTCATCTGTTCTTAGATATTTAGGTTGTTTCCAAATTTTGGCTATTGTGAATAATGCTGCAATGAACATATATGTCCTCAAGATACTGATTTCAGTTCTTTTGGATAAATATCCAGAAGTGGGATAGGTTGATCACATGGTAGCTTATTTTTAATTTTTTTGAGGAACTTCTATATTATTTTTCATAGAGGCTGCATCATTTAACAATCCCAAAAATAGTTTACAAGGGTTCTAATTTCACCACATCATTGCCAACACTTATCTTTCCTTTTTCTGATAATAGTCATCTCAACAAGTGTGAGGAGATATTTCATCGTGGTTTTGACTTGCGTTTCTCCAATGATTAGTAATATTGTGCATCTTTTCATATACCTATTGTCAATTCATATGTCATTTTTAAGAAAAAATCTTTACTTAAATCCTTTGCTTATTTTTTAATCAGGTTATTAGTGGGTTTTTGTTTGTTTATTTTTGTTTTTGCCATTGACTTGTAGGAGTTCCTTGTATAGTTTTAATATTAATCTCTTATATCTGGTGAATTTCTTCAGCAAAAAAGGTATGAGTTAAGGTAGAAACAATATAAAAAGACAATTCAATTTTTTAAGGGAGAAGAAAGATGGAAAGGAAGATCTAAGGAAAGAAAGAAGGCAAATAACCAAAATCACTAATAAAGATAATTTATTTTCATCAGTAAATTTAATTAATGCCAATTTTAAAAATGGCATTCTATTTTTGCCTGCTAATTTAGCTAATATTTTAAAATAATCCTCTGTGTTGGAATGAGAGATAGTAATGGGCATTGGCATCTTCCATTTGGAAGACTATATTGTTACAAGCTTTCAGGGAAAGATACACTTTCAAAATGCATATGAATGATTTTATGAAAGGAATAAAATAGACCCAGTAATTCTTACGTAAAAATTTTAACCTTAGTTAATAATCAGAGATCTGCCATGTTATGCCATGTTATGTATGTAAGCTCTTTCCTTATTCATGGACACACATGAAAAAGCCTGATCTTAATCTTATTGGTTCTTTTTTCAAATGTCAAAATAAGCAAGGAAAAAAATCCCTCAATCTGACCATTCATGCTGTTCCTTCTCTTATTCACTACAAAGAAAGGTTTATACTTTCATTATAATCAGAACACCTAAAAGGCACATTTAAATATTTAATTTCTTTCTACTTATAAGCAATATCATGTCTCAGAAGAAAAGATTAACAATATTGAAATTCCTCGGTAAAAATTAAAGAATTAAGATGTAATTAAGTTCAGATTTCCACACTTTTTTTCATAGCCCTTCTAAGTTTTCATCTGTTGGTCTTCACCTGGAAACTTCATAGATCCTTCTCTTTTTTTGTTCAACAGAATAAGGGTGATAGTGGTTTTGTGAAACCATTTTGTTGCTAGAACTTATGCTAAATATGTTGTTCTTGTCTCCAGGAGAAAGAATAATTGCAATTTTTCCCTGTCAAAGATGAATGTAGCTTGGGATCCTGAATATTATCTTTGGACCATCTGACTTTCAAGCCCTTTCCTAGGGTATGTTACATTTTTATATAGGAAAGTTCCTTTCTGCTGAATGGTTTTTGTATTTTGCTGCATGATTTCCTGATAGAATTATTCTTTTAATTGATTTTCAATATTTTTTTATTTTATAATATTTTAGATTGATGAAAAAAAATTTATGAAGATTGAACAGAATTCTCACATACACTATACTGAATTTTGCCTTTTATTACTATTTTACTTTAGTGTGGTATATATGTCACAATTATTGAACCCATGTTGCTACTTCCTTATTCACTAAAGCCCAAACTTTATTCAAATTTCCTTAGCTTTATTATCTAAAATCCTTTTTCTATTCAAGCATAAAACTAAAGGATACCACATTACTTTGAGTCTTCATGTCCCCTTAGGCTCCTGTGGGCTGTGATAGTATCTCAGACTTTTCTTCTTTGGAAGAGCTTGAGAGTTTCAAGGATTACAGGTCAAGTATTTGAACCCAAACATATGATTGGGATTTGTGATGTTTATCTCATAATTAGACTGAGGTTATGGGTTAACATAGTATATTTTCTTGAACATTGTAAAATTACCCTGAACCAAACTACGATTGATTTAAATATGTTTTATATTTTGTAATAATGGTGTCCGTATATGTTTATGACAGTGGGACATTGTGATATGAACATTGTGATTCTTTGACTCTCTCACAAAATTGTATTAGGACAAGTTCAATAGTGTAGATCACTATTTACGAATCCAGGAGTCAGAATCTATAAATCCAGCAGACAGGCTTAGACTCTACCTGAGTTTGGGTGCTACTGAGATTACTAGATTACTATGTTAAATGGGTTAAAGGAATTATAAGTATTTTAATTTTATGTATATTATGATATGTTGATGTCTTAACAAACCTTTCTGGCTGGGAGATATTGTCTCTTTCTGGGCTAGACAATGCTTAGAGATGACCCAGGGCCCAGTGGGAGTGTGTCTTCGATATATAAACTAGTAAATCCAAAGCCATGTTTCCTATCTGGCCCATATAACCCAGGAGGCAATAGTCTTCTGCCTTAATCATCCCAGGGCCAGGTTCCAGACAACCAGAGACAACTGCTATAGGTTAGAGGCTACCAAAATTAGTTAAACTAGTCATCCTATACTATTCACCCTGCCCTGCCTAGACTTTCTCTCCAAAATCTCAATGAAGCCTAATCTCCCCCCGGCCCCCCACTGCTCTGTGGTGGTATGGTGTGCCCTGCCTCCTGCCTCTAGGATCTGTGAGTATAATAAACATTGTTTTCCTTAGCCTTTTCTGTGTCCCTTCTCATGCCCGTACCTACTGACCACCATATGTAAGAATGGCATGGTAGCACAGACCTGTAATCCTAGCACTTTGGGAGGCTGAGGCAGGAAGGTGACTTAAGGCCAGGAATTCTAGACCAGCCTTAGCAGAAGCAAGATGCTGTCTCTATAAAAAATAGGAAAATTTTCTGGGTGTGGTGGCGCTCACCTATAGTCCCAGCTACTCAGGGGGCTGAGGCAGGAGGAGCAATTGAGCTTAGGAGTTTGAGACTGCAGTGAGCTACGACTGCACCATTGTTCCCCAGCCTGGGTGATAGAGTAAGCAAGTCTTTGTATCTTAAAACAAAACAAACAAACAAACAAACAAAAAGAATATAAAACATCAATCAAAGTAGTTTTTGATGCCTATGGTGAACTTTTTGAATGTTATTCAGCATTTTTACATGTATATAAAACTATAAAATCTGCATTCGTTTCTTACAGCTACTTTTTCTTTTTTCATTTTTCTTTTAGGTTTTGCTGCCTTGTTGTTGCTGGATGAAAGAATTGGGAAGAGTCAAAAATGAATAAGGCTAATTAATACTCTTGTGACATTTGGATGTTCTTTTTCTCATATCAAGGAGTCTATATTCCTATATTTTTATATGGATTAGTGGCAAATTTGGCCAGGTCTCTCCTGTCTTGCCCTAATGAGGGAATGAATTTCCATCTATTTGCTAACAATTTTTTTTAGACTTTAAGTCCAATAAAGTGAGGCTTAATAGTATATTGTTGCCTTTCCTCCAATCATGAATAGGTATTCCATTGGCAGACTGTTCCCACACACATTATAAATAACAATTCAAGTGAATTTAGTCTATATATCAGCATTAGGCTCTGTTCTTCTCTTCTTGTTCTAACAGTCACCAGTCAGCTGAATTGGCTTTTTTCCTAGATTCTGGTTTCTGGATTACATCCCACCTGACAATCCATGGAAGACATTGTATCTGAAGCAGCCTAGAATCCTGACTCCTTCTATTTTGTTTCTGCCAGTGTCTTTCCCTACGGCTAGACCTTATTTCTAAATCATTTATATCACATCATGTAGGATCTTCACAGATCATTAAAACTATTGCTATGTAGAAGCTCGACTCTTTCCATGTTTTGTCATATTGGGGTAGAAATTTCCATCATGGTGTCTAGACATATGGGTATGTCAAAAGCAGGTGATATATATAACTGTTTGTTTCTAGTAATATTTAATGTACTAAATATAGCTAATATTTAGATTGACCACTTCAATACCAATACAACCTTTCTCCTAGTATACTTTGTTGTAATTACAGAGGCCGAACAAGCTGTATTTTCTAGACTCCTTTTTAGATGAATTCTCAGTGATATTCAAGATCTTCCAATCATAATATTCATTTGACATTTGACCTTAGAACTCAATTAAGTGGGTAGAGAGAAGATATCACAATGACATTCATTGTGCTGGTTTAGATTTAGCAGTAATAGTTCAGGTGCCATCATTCTTGGATGTGGCTTCTGATCCTGGATCACCTAAAGTAGTATATTCTTGGATTTAATAATTGTAGTTAAGGTTTCCTGTGCTGTGTTTCATGGCTAAGGTGGTATGCTATTTAAATCAGTGGTTCCTATAGCAACTAAGAAGAGGCAGTTTCCTTGTGGACAAACCAGTTTGGTCTAGTCATTTCTAGAGGTTTGGTCTAAAGCCAGCTCCTTTGGCCCTTCAAATAATTGTGTAAGTACCTAATTTTCTTTAGCTTTCAACCAACTGTTGCTAAAATAATGCTGCATAACAACCCCAAACCTCAATAGCATTGAAAAATAAGCATTTATCTTTCACATGTCTGTGGGTCAGCTAGCAGTCTGCTGATTTGGGTGGGCTCTCTAAATCTGAGTCATAATCCTCTTGGGAGTGCCAGGCACTGCAATGGCACATGGGAGAAAGACCAAGCCTAACCACACAAGCATAATTCAATCCAGTGCTTGTGTCATATCTGATAAAATCCCATTGGTCAATGAAAGGCATATGGCAGGCCCAACATCAAGGACTGGAGAATAACTACAGTAAATATCATGGCACATGGTAAAACTGCATAATCCCATATGAAGCACAGAGCAAAGGTTGGAGACCATAATCCAGTCCATCAAAATATATAAATCTCTTTTTCCCAAAATAGCTAGAGTAGTTTAAATATTCTGCAACAGAATATTGAATATAAAGAACACTTTATCATTTTTATAAATCAGTATATGTTTAATATCTTCTCTATAATTCTATTCTCATTCATTTACATGTAAGGTAATATATTTGCTTGGGTAAGAGATAAAAGAGTGGATTTAACACCAAGAACAGAGGAAATATCCTTAAGGTTGCATTTTACTTGCAGAAAACATTTGGAAGCCCTTCAATCACAACCCTTGGGTGATTAGTGGGAGCAGAAGCAGGCTTGGCTAATAGGGTTTCTTGTTTGATGTCTTGAACTATTAACCAGTCAGCACCAAAACTTAGGGCTGGAAAAAACTAATTTAACATATATATTTTATATATCTTAACATATATGAAAACTAATTTTTCCAGCCCTAACCCCATCTGTCTCTGGCAGTTTCCAACCTTTAGCTGGAATGCTCAAAGCATACCATGAAGTCAGAAAAACACTGATTAAAACAAGCTAATTGAATAACAAAATGTCAAAGGCCATTTAAATTTCAGTTTTTATGTCTCTTAGAGGTTGGGAACTGCCACTATGATACAGTTTCCCATATGTCCTGGCGTGAGGGGTTGAGTAGGGGGACAGGAGCAATTACTTCTAAGCAGAATGTTACTGCCTTTCCTCTCTGGAACTATATAAAAGGATATGAGTAGAATGGTAAAGGGGAAACAATATAAAATGGATAAACTTGATATAATAATAGCAAAATTGTTCGTGTTTTGCTACTTAGAAGTATGCCAAGATGACAACCCTTTCCATTCCCTCTCTTATCTTTGTTTCCAAGCCTTTTCCTTTCCAATTTAAAAAGCTATTAGACAGAATGATAAAGGCTGAATATCAAGACACATAAATCTCTAAAGGTTCTAGTACTTTAGCTTTCTGCCTTCATTTTTAACATATTACTTTTGTTGAAAGAAGAACTGAAAGTATTTATCTAAATATTTACTGAAATTATTGATTCATTTAAGTCATTTAAGTTTGATGGGTGCTTGTTTGTATGTCTATTTTAACATATATAATTTAACATTTCTTATTGTCTTGGAGATGTAAAAATATATTTTTCTGCAGAGTCATTTTTTACTCTGTTCTTTCTGTCTTTTCTCCAACTTCTCTTCCACATGTTCCCAAGGAGTAGAAATGGACAGCATATCATGTGCCTCTATTTCCTACTTAAATGTGGATTATTGCATATTGTTTGAATTGCCAGTGTTTTGGGTTCTTTACCTGTCTTATCAACAGGTCAGTTTTAAGAGGGTGTGTGGGTTTTTTTGTTGTTGTTGTTGCTTGTTTCTTTATCATCAATGAATCTCGAGGAAGTATTTTCATCTCTCAGGCTGATGTATCTTGTAAAGCATGGAAGCACAAAATTCAAAATATATTATCGCTTTTATAGAAGTATTTAAAATAACACCAGTTTGTAAATCTTAAAAATTAAGGTTTATAATATTTAGCTCAAATCATTGTTGAGCTAAATATTTAACACCAAAGCAGTAACCCTTGAAAAATATTTGGTATTCTAATACATAAGATCCCAAAGTCAATTATAGTTTGACTATACACTAAAAGCAGACACACATCAAAATCATTATTATCTCTCAAAAAATTACTTCCAGTTTTGTATTTATTACTACTAATAAATTTTTTCCTTTTTCTTATTCTGATATTATTAAGGAGATGAGACAGGGCTTGAGTTATTAGATATTGCCTGTTTTTCATAATTCTTACATAAAGCTTGTACCTAAATTTTAAAAAAATTTTATTTTACTTCAACTGCATAAATAGTACTATAAAAGAGTAGCTTTCGATATGCAGAAACTATTAGAGATTAATAGTCGTATTACTATGTTTACATGCATTAGTGTGTGTGACCTTTTCCTAAATTGTCTAATTACCAGTCCAGTGCTCTGTCCCTTCCACCAAGATTGTTAACACATAGCCACCTGTGAGTGATGCTGCTCACGGCCCTGCATAAACAAGAGTCAGAGAAGATGATCTTGTGCATAATGAATCCCTTTTCTTTACGATTGATATTCTCATTCCAGATCAGATCCTCAAACATTTTTCCAGGTTTTCCCATTGCGAAGGGTTAGGAATTTAAACAACACCTAGCCACATATTCAAGCACTTTGATTCTGTGATTCCATTTAAATATACAATACATATCAGGAAAAGTAAAAGAAATTATAATAAAAGAGAAGTAGTTCATATGAGGATAGGTACCAAGTAACAGGTAGGAATAATACTAATAACAGCCAGCATTTACGCGGTGTGTACTCTGGACCAGATACCATGCTCACAGCGCCATCTCATGTAATAATCCTAACTAGTCTATAAAAGAGGCCCTATCATTTCCACCTCAAGTGAAAAAATGGAGGCTTACATCATACATCAGGGGTGGAAATCTGAAACAGTTAATCCCAAATCATATGCTTTTGACCAGTGTATTAACCTGCCAAGATCTTGCTTCCTCAACAATAACTGGGGAACTTCTGCATCCATCCCTAAGGCACGGTTCTTCTGTCATCCTCTGATACCTCTCCCTAACATCAGTCACTCAGATTGGAACCCAAATAGACCAACACATTTACCAGTATTCATCAGTATCATATGTTTCTTCTCTATTTTCTTAAGGGCAGGAGAAAGAAGTCAATATTTTTCTTAGTGCAACACTTTAGGGAGGAATGTTATTTCTCCTCAGGTTTTAATTATCCACACATTTTTTTATAAGGCAAACCTAAGGGAAAGAATTAATAAATGGAAAAAGATTACAGTTTGTCTCATTAAAATCCCTCTCTGGTAGTAAGAAAGCTTTATAGCAAATATGCATGGGCATTAGATCACTATGTAAGCAATGCACTAATTCAACTAATAAAATGTATTTTATCCTGTCAGCTCAGCTTTAGGGCGGAGGCTTGGAGGGAATGCTAGAATATCCTAGTCAGGCTCTCCCATGATTTAATAAAAATGCCTGTCTTGTTCTCTAAGAACTTAACTAACCAGAGAGTGAACTTTCTCTTTCCCTGCTGGGATCGTGGATTGCAAATCAGTTTTCTCTGCCTAAAAGCAATCACCTAAGCCAGTGGTTATGTGAGACTAGGGTAAAAGGAAAAAGCCATAAAAATTAATGAGCTTACCTGATGCTAGGCTTTCAGACCATAATTCTGGGCTTGAGAGAATTGAAGTCCTACTTGGCAATGGCTCAGGTGGGTGTAGACTCTATTGTACATGAGTAGTTTTGAAACTTTTGCTAAATGTGGAATACTTTTGAAAAGCACATCTATTCTACTTCTTCCTACAACTACAAAAACAAAACTTAACAAAGACAAGACCAAATTTACTATTAGAAGAGTCAACAGCCCATAAGTAAGGAATCCTTTGGATATAAATAACAGAAGACTTTCTCAAACTGGCTGAGGCAATAACGTCGACTTATGCAATTGAAAAGTCCAGTTGCAGGAATTACTTTCAATAAGATTTGATGCAGAGTAGATGCAAAGCTCAAAATATCTCCTTTTTACTCTCCCCATCCTTCCTCTTTCCCTCTCTCACCCCACCCTTTCCTGGGCTCTTCTCTCTGACTTTCATGGTGCTTCCCTTACCAGAATGCTGGCTGGATCACCT